TTCTCCTGCTTGTTCTTCTCCTGCTTGTTCTTCTCCTGCTTGTTCTTCTCCTGCTTGTTCTTCTCCTGCTTGTTCTTCTCCTGCTTGTTCTTCTCCTGCTTGTTCTTCTCCTGCTTGTTCTTCTCCTGCTTGTTCTTCTCCTCCTTGTTCTTCTCCTCCTTGTTCTTCTCCTCCTTGTTCTTCTAGTCCTTCCTAACCACTATTCTTCCTCGTCGGAGTCACTGACATCACCTTCGATCCGCGTCCGCTCTCTTTGAAACATCCAAGGAAATAAGAAGCCAGGAGTAGAAGCCCGGGGCAAAGAGTCCCAATGCGGTCTTGTCTTGTCTTTTATTATCTACTGGAGAGCTTGCAAGATTGAGCACTTGTTCTTCTTCATCTTCCTCAACGTCATTCTTCCTCGTCCGAGTCATAGTCTTTACATTCTCTTCATCCGCATCCGCGCTCTCCGAGACATCCACAGAAGAAGCAAGAAGCCTGGGAGCCAGAGCCCCGCTGCGGTCTTGTCTTGTCTTTTATTATCGATGGGGAGCTTACAAGATTGAGCCATTCTACTTCTTCTTCTTCTTCTCCTCCTTCTCCTTCTCCTTCGCAGCCATTATTCTTCCCCCGTCGGGGTTATGGTATGTATATTCTCTTTGATCCGCATCCGCATCCTTCGAAATCTCCAAGGAAGAAGCAAAAAGTAAGAGAGGAATGGAGGCGAGGAGGTCCGAGCCTCAACGGGGGCTTTTCTGGTCTTGTCCTTTATTGTCTACCGGAGGTCTTTTATTATGTACCGGAGAGCTTGCAAGATTGAGCCCTTCTTCTCCTTCTCCTTGCCAACCACTATTCTTCCCCCTCCGAGTCATACCCTCTACATTACCTTCGACCTGCGGCCGCTTTCTCCGAAATATCAACGCAAGAAGCAAGAGGCCTGCGGCCCTGGATTCCGCTGGGATCTTGTCTTGTCTCGCTCGTCCTGTCTTGAATTATCTACTGGAGAGCATACAAGATGGAGCCTTGTTCTTTCCAATTGTCATTCTCATTCTCGTGGTCATGGTTCGGCAATTGATTGCCCTTTATATACGCTACTGCGCTGTCTTGGATACATTCGAGATCTGCCATGTCTCCATCTTCCACGTTTCCATGGTTCAATGTTTCTATGTTTCCATCCTTTAGGTAGATAGGTATACAAGAGGCCCTATGTACCCTGCGGCCCTGTGTCCCCTCCGGGCCCGTTTCTGTCTGGTCTGGTCTTGCATGATGGAGTCTCTCTTATTCTTCTTCTTCTTCTTCTTCTTCCAATTTCATTCTTCATGGTCGTGGATCGTGGATCGTGTGGGCTTGACCACCAAGCTGTTGGAGGACGCGGCATGCCATATGGGCTATGGGGTACAGGAACGAAGGCTTCAAGGGGGCACTCATTGCGAACGGGGATCTCTGCGAGTGCATTGGAGCAGCTATCGAGCGGAGGGAGACGGACGGGTAGGGGGAGAGACGCGAGGGAGAAAGACCGCGGGGGAATGGCTGGCGAAGGACAGAGATGGCGCCACGGGGAGACGTCGAGGGGGACAGACGGCGAGGGCGGGCGAGAAGAGGGCGCGCGGAGGGAGCGGAGATGTGGTACGATGTGCTGCAGCATACATTATGCCACGCAGGCAGGATTCAGGCAATGGAGCGCAGGTACCGCAGGCAAAAAGCAGCGCAGACCGACGCGACACGGTTGGCACATGGCTGGGGAAGTATGAGAACGAGGCTACGTTACTTGATAATCACGTGGCGGAATTGGTAGCGCGGAGCACGAAGGGGGTGAAACGCAACGCAGGCAGCAGGATTATCTGATGTGTGGTTGGAGGGTAATGTGGCGGAGCACGGATAGCTCGAGACGCAGTCCAGGCAGCAGCATTGTGACGTTGGGGGCAAGTTCAGCGAGCGCTGACGAACGTGGCGCACAGTGGAGGAAAGTACGGCGAAGCCCAGAGCTCTGAGGAGAGCAAAGTCCAGGACTGTAGGAGAAGAAAAGCAGAGAACAACAGCGGAGACAGTGGAATGGATGGGATATGTATAGTATTGCACCGTGCAAGCAGAAAAGACCACAGACACTGCCGCTCCTGCCGGTGAGAGAGTTGCTCCTGTCGATGGCGTGATCATTACAGTTCACTATTACGTCACGTGCGCTCCTGCCAAGAGTCTTGGACCGCAGTTTCTCCCCACAAGAGATTCACCACGACTTCACACCACCACTTTTTAGTCTTGACACCGTCGCCACACCATCAGACACTACGCCGTTACCCGAGGTGGGCCTCTCCAAGACAAGATAAGAGAGTCTGCACCTATCCGAACGGTGCTTTGTCAGGTATGTCTCACTTCCAGATCGAGATGGCGTTGCACAACTGCTGACACAAAGGGGGTCCGCAGATTCACAAGCGAACGGGACTGATCCGAACTGCGTCGTGCTGACGGAGATCAGAGGTGTGTGATTGGTAAGATCTTGTTCTCCGCTGAGTTGAGCCCCGTCGTGCTGACTGCAAGGGGCCAGAAGCTACCGTCGGATCACAAACGCCGCCTTGGAACAAATCCTTCCACACCAGTCGATTTCCTCTCCACTCTCTCTATCCACACCAAACATCTACGGAACCTATCCGAGTCAGATCATCTTGACACGAGAAAAAATGTCGGATCTTTCCGGACAGCAGGGCGACCTGGGCCAATCCAGCAAGGGTCCAGCCAAGCCAAATACCAACGATGAAGTGAACAATGAGGGCCATGGGCTCCCTTTCATCTTCAAGGCGTCGAAGTCCGATGTTTTTGACCAGGGCCAATCCAGCAAGGGTCCAGTCAAGCCAAATACCATCGACGAGGTGAACATTGAAGGCCGTGGGCTTCCTTTCATGTTCAAGGCACCGAAGTCCGATGTTTCTTACCCGGGCCAATCCAGCAAGAGTCCAGTCAAGCCAAATACCATCGACGAGGTGAATCATGAAGCCAAGGCGCCAAAGTCTGATGTTTCTGACCCGGGCCAGTCTCCTGCCGACACCAAGAGCAAGTCTGCTGATGCCGGTCCACAGGCAGCTCGTTTGTCGGACCCTTTCATCTCTCCATCCAAAGGAAAGGGCAAACGAAACAAGGGGAAGGGGAGAGCAACAGAAAGAGATGCTGGCCCCATGAAAGTTGCACGTGGTTCGTTCATGCCTCTCCCCCCTCTGCCCTCAAAGGGAAAGGGCAAGGCAAGAGATGCTGGCTCCATGAACGTTCCACCTAGGTGGATTAATGGTGCTGAACCTTGGGTGTATCGTCTAGCTTCTAGCCTCATGGATGTCAGGGCCTACCAGAACAAAGTCACCACACGCACAGGAGAGCCATCTGAGTGGTTTCATGATGTTATGAATTCTATTGTTGATGGAATGGGTGAAAGAGAAGCTCAACGCCGCGCTGCCGAGGCCACTGAGGGCGTTTCCACCGAAGAGGCCAAAGATAACGGACAAGCATCTGGATACAACGGGGAACCATCTGGATTCAACAGCCGACCATCTGGATTCGACGGCCAAGCACCTGGATACAACGGGGAACCATCTGGATTCAACAGCCGACCATCTAGATTCAAAGAGGCCGAAGATAACGGCGACGCATCTGGATCCGAAGAAGAGGCATCTGGATGACCTGATAGTCCGATACTCAACAGTCCATGGCCCATGGCCCATGGCCCGATAGTTGTGGTGGTACGGCGTTGTGTGTGTGGTGTCGGCTTTCTCCAAAGGCCACCAAGTGTGTACTCACCCACAGTGTGGGCTGAGCCTTTTTCACCTTAGCTGGTATTTTCGTGGCAAGTAGCAATATGATATTGCTAGTGGCTAATACCTACTACATTGCCACCTGATATCTGGTGTCTCATGGCCGATAGATAGCTCAAATAGCTCTAATAGCCCGATACCATTGTCTACAGACAGCCCCCGTTGCGATAGTGATGATGTCTGTAACGCAACTTGCGCCGGATTCTCTCCAGGGGGTGCCACGCGTGAGTGCTCAGGGTAGTGCGAGTTTGAGTCGAGTCTCCTTTAGTCATGATATGCCATGCCATGGCTGATATTTGATACTTTCATACGTGATAGATGGCCCGTGGCTGATCAGAAGCCCGTGGCTGATATCTCATGGTCATGGCCGAAACTTTATGCCCTAACGGCCCATGGCTGACGGCTGATACCTGATCCGCTGATGGGTGATACCTGATAGCCCGATGACCCCCGATAGCCCCTGATGGCTGTTGATGGCTGCTGATAGCCCCTGATGCCCAATACCTGATGCCTGATACTGGATATCTGATACCGGATAGCCCGATGATAGCTGATCACCTCTGTTAGCTGCCGATCGCCCCTGATGGTGTCTGATAGTGTCTGATGACTGCTGATGGCTACTGATCGCCCCTGATTGCTGACACCTGATGGGCTGATGACCTCTAGTGGCTACTGATGGCCTCTGATGGTGTCTGATAACCTCTGCTAGTGTCTAATGGCTGCTGATAGCTACTGATGGCGTCTGATAGTGTATGATGGCGTCTGATAGTGCCCGATAGCCTCTGATGGTGCCTGATAGTGTCTGATGGCCCCTGGTGGTGTCTGATAACCCCTGATGGCCCCTGATGGCTACTGATGGATAGTAGTCTCTACAAACCTCGTTTCCTTCCCGGCGGGCGGGAGAACTTACGGAGTTCTCAGGGCGTGAGTCGAGTTGTCCCCTTGGCCGATGTCTCATGGCTATGGCTGATGGGTGATACCTGCCGGGACCATGGCTGATCAGATAGCCTCTGGCCCGATGGTGGCTAATGGCCTATGGCTGATGGGCTGATACCCAGATAGCCCGATGACCCGACAGCCCAACAGCCTGATAGATGGTAGATAGTAGTATCTACAAGCTTCGTTTCCTTTCGGAGGGGGAGAAGAACTCACAGAGTTCCCGGAATGTAGATCGAGTGGTCCCCTGGGCTGATATCTCATGGCCGGTAGCCTGCTGCTGCCAGTTCTGGTGGTGATATGGCGATATCAGCTGTATCAAGCTGCGTTCCCCCTCACGGAGCACTCTCAGGGCGTGAGTCTGCCCCCCCTCTCGGCTGATACCGAATGTGCTACTTACTATCTACTTCTAATATCTGATAACTGATCGCTCATGGTCCGATACCTGATAGCCCCACAGCCCCATGGCACAATCAATGGTGTGGTGTGGTGTAGTGTAGTGCTGTCGTTGTGATTGTGGTTGTTGTCCGCAGACCTCGTTTCCGTGGGGGACCGAGTATGTACAGAGTATGTACTCCCACCGCCAACAAGTGCGTGAAAGGCAACCTGGGAGAGACTTGGAGTCGTCAATACATTCGTTGGAGAAAACCATCTTGACAATGCTCGGCAGTACTTGGAGTCCGACACGGAGAATTACCGACTGATCGGGGCGGCGGCGAGGGACTTTGGCAGAAATCTTGAGAAAAACGAGCAAAAAAGCAAATCAATTTCCTATGAGAAAAACTACCATTTCCACTTAGATTCCCCCTCTTCCCTTGGGGCCCATCTGTTGTTTCCCACCGACATACAGCTGCCGCTGTTAAACAATTTACGCTTCTTTCCAAAGACAAATACCGTCCTGCTGGCCTGCGGTAGGTCCCGCACTACCCCAACCAACTCTCGCAACCAAGTGCCCCCCGACGACGACATGGCAGTTCCTCCTCGGTTCACTACTGTCGGTGATTGATGGGCGGCGGGATGGCCATGATTGGAATTTGATATGGTGGTTGTTGGTGTCCCCGCGTACGGAAATTCTGCTCCTCCTCGTCCAGCAGGGCGTCAAGCTGGCGCTGTCGTTCCGCCTCGGCCTGCTGTCTTTGCTCGTCATTCATGTCCTTCTGATGCACTCTCCCTTGGCAGATGCTCCTCAATTGCCAACACAATCGCCGTGATTGCCGGTGGTATGCGAGCGCACTCTGGTCGTGCAACCATCTCGCTGCCTGCCATTGCAGAACCAGATCCATTTCTTTCACGATTAATTCCAGCTCCTGTACTGGCACGGGTCGACCCAGGCGGGCGGGAACGTAGCCCACGTAGACCTGGCCCCCTTCCTCCAGGCGTCGGATCCCGAGCTCGTAGTAGACTTGCGCTTGGTACAACTTCTTGTCCAAATCGTGAATATAAAAAATCATCTCCTTATCTTCGTCCAGCTCCTTGGCCAGTGCGATCAATTCTCTTTGCTTCTCTGCAATTCGGAATGTGTAGCCGCTCAGCTGAGAGAACAGGATTCTTCTCTTGTGATCTTCCAGGTCTTCCATTCCTCTCACCTCGGTGGGCATGGAGGGCGGCGGCATGGGGGGCGGCATCGTGAGCGGCATCGTGAGCTGGGGTCGGACCGACACCTCGTTATGGGAGGACATGAAGGGCGGCGGCATGAAGGGCGGCATCGTGAGCTCGGATCGGATCGGCACCTCTTTATGGGAGGACATGGAGGGCGGCGGCATGGAGGGCGGCATCGCGAGCTCGGGTTTTACCGACACCTCTTTATGGGAGGACATGGAGGGTGACGGCATGGAGGGCGGCATCGCGAGCTCGGGTTTTACCGACACCTCGTTAGGGAGGAGGGCAGTGTTGAGTGGCTCTTGTCGTTGTGGTCAGTACAACACCGCGCATGGTCAGCACAACGCACCTCGGTCTGACATAGCTCACACAAGACTCCCAATGCTTTGTTCTTCGTCTTCCGTGGCCTGCTTGAGCACAAGGACGCAGTGTTCAAAGTGATGTTGGTGATGTCGAGAGCGAGGGACTGTGGTGAGGCTGAATATATATGGCAGAGGGCGGTCAAGTGACGTGGCGGCACTTAAGTGAACGCCACCAGCTGTCAGTGGTATCACATCGAATCAGAACCAAACCACCTGGGACGGTTGTGGGCGGCTCCTCCGCCAAAAGGGAGGTCGAAATGGATCCACATGCGAGGGGGAGTGTCTGGATTGGTCTTGCGAGACGCCCGGGATGCTTTGGGTTGTTTCCGGCCATCGTGACAGGATCATGGTCTTCGGGTGACATCGGCCTGTGAGCTTGCAAATGGGGACATTTCGAGTCCGATGCGTCATGCCTGTGCCTATCATGGCTTGATCCCCCACTCTAACGCACCGGGGTACACCGTGACTCGGTCAATTGGGGTGGAGAGAGAGTCATGTGGCCTTGAAGACTCTTTGTAAGTGGTGGTCTTGGGTATTGGTCAGCCCAACGCCGGCATTTGTCTCGTGTGACGGAGAGACCGACTTGGTATGCCATTGGTACGAAGGGGGGTATCCGTTGGGCACAAGTCAGAGCCCAAATGAACGTGGTCATGGCCGCACCATTTGTCTGTGGACTGCGCCTGACATGACGCCCCCACGCCCAGACCGCCCAGACTCTGCCAATTTTGGTGGTTGACATGGTGGAATATCGAGCATCGGGGTGTGCCGAGATGGTGAGAGCCGTGGGGACGAGGGGATTGAGAGCCTGAGATGTGGATAGTATGAGAATATGGGTGGTAGAGCTGAGGAATGCGTCGTTGGCTGGCCAGGGGAAGAAAGGCAATCGAGTGAGTTGGCCACAACAACGACACTGAAAGGACTGGAAAGGATGGAAAGAACAGAATTGGCACTTTGAATAACTTGATCGAGGTGTTTAGACTCGTGTTTGTCGTAAGCGAGGTGGCTGAGGTGGTGGTTGAGCGAGATGTGCCGAGTGTTGCAGGATGACTGCCGGGTTTTTGGGGGAGACGTGACTCTCCAAGTTCAAGATCGGCTGGATTTACCTCTCTGATGAAGAATGGTCGACGTGAGGGAAGAAAGATTTGTAACAGGCATGGTAACAGTCTCAAACAACTGGATTTTCATCAAGTCCAAGTCCTTCTACTGTATTTTCACCAAGTCCCACCCTATGGTGAGAGAAGAGAGAAGAGGAATACCAAGGAGAGGGGGGGGGGGGGGGGGGAGGTTACCATAGAGTACGACGGACGATTATGTAAGCATCCATGTTTGCTGATGTCGTCAGCATCTCCCCCCCCGACCAGTCCGAAACGCGTGCGGAACGCTTGCGACAACCATGCGGAACACATGCGTTTCGTATGCGAATCGCGTGGTTTTATTATGCGCATGCGAATCGCATGCGAGGCGCAGGCGAAACGTATGCGAAAAGCATGCGGCTAACATGCGTGCCCCAATGTTCGCCCCTAAATATTGTACCTTCGCTCCCAAAGTCCACCTTTTGCCCTTTTTTCAATCTACAAGTCCATCTTCCTCTGTCGCTTCTCTCCAAATCGGACCTGCTACTGTGGTATTTGCAAGATTCAGCCTTCTGCTGTCTTTTCTGCCAATGTCCCATCTTCTGCTGTCGTTTTTATCCACGTCCCGCTTCCAATGTCCATGTCCGCCTTCCGGTGTCTTTTCTCTCTCTCTCGGAACCCCCTTGCTGCTGTCTTTTCTGCCAAAGTCCACCTTCGCCTGTCTTTTGTCCAAGGCCATCTGCCTTCTGCTGATCTTCTTGCTCCCAGAATCCATTTTCTACTACGTTTCCTGCCAGATTCTCCCTTCTACTGTCGTTTCTCTACAAGTCCACCTTTGACTGTCTTCTGTCCAGGGCCACCTACCTTCTGCTGTCTTTTCTGTCTCAAAATCCCCTTTCTGCTGCGTTCTCCACAGAATTCTGTCTTCTGCTGTCGAATATCTCCAAGTCTGATCTTATCCTTTCTTCTCTTTCTCTCTGAACCCCCTTTCTGCTATGTTCTCTACCAGGTTCTGCCTTCTGCCGTGTTGTTTCTATCCAAGTCGACCCGCTACTGCCTTCTTCAAGTCCATCGTCTGCCGTATTTTTACCAAGTTCCCCCTTTCCGGCGTCTTCTCCAAGTCCCCTTCACGGTCTGCCGCCGTTTCCGTCTCAGAATCCCCTTTCTGCTATAGTCTCTACCGAATTCTGCCTTTTGCTGTCGTTTCTGTCCATGTCCACCTTCTACTGCCATTTTCCGTCGGAGCCGACCTTCTCTCCTCTCAAACGACTGGAATTACACCAAGTACCGCCTCTCTGGCGTCGAGAATCTTGACTCATGTCCACCTGCTACTGTCTTCTCTCTACACAGACACTGGAATTTGACCAAGTTCAAACTCCTGCTGCGTCTTTCTTCATTCCAAGTCCATGATCTGCAGTCGAATCTCTCCAAGTCCCCCTTTCCGCGTCTTTCCAAGTCCAAAGTCTACCGTTTATCTTGACGTCGAGTCAAGTCAAAAATCTACTCTATTTTGACCAAGTCCCCCCCTTCCGGCGTCTTTCGAAGTCCAAAGTCTACCGTTTGTCTTGACTTCGAGTCCAAAATCTGCTGTATTTTGACCAAGTCCACGATCTACTATCTTCTTCTCTTCTCAAACAACTGGATTTCCACCAATTCTAAAGCCCTAGTGCTGTATTTTGACTAAATACCTCCCTTCCGGCGTCTGTCCAGGTCGAAAAGACTGAATTTCGACCAGGTCCCAGCTACTTCTGCCGCATTTTTGACTAAATCTACGATCTACTGTCTTCTTCGGTCCCCAAAGACTTGATTTCCACCAAGTCCCATCTTCTGCTGGATTTTGACCAAATCCCGCCCTTCTGGCGTCTATCCAGGTCCAAAATCTACTGGATTTCCTACCAAGTCCCATCTTCTGCTGCATTTTTGACCAAGTGTCCACGATCTACCGTCTTCTCTCTTCTCAAATAACTGGATTTCGACCAAATCCAAAGCCCTTCTGCTGCATTTTTGACCAAATCCCGCCCTTCTGGCGTCTATCCAGGTCCAAAATCTACTGGATTTCCTACCAAGTCCCAGTTACTTCTGCTGTATTTTTGACCAAGTGTCCACGCTCTAGTAGATTGTGTCCCCAAAAGACTGGAATTTGACCAAGTCCCAGTTACCCCTGCTGCACCTTTGACCAAGCTCCCACGCCCTAGTAGACTGTATGCCTAAAAGACCGAACCCCCACCAGGTTCCAGTTCCTTTTGCTGCATTTTTGACCAAGTCCACTACGCTGACGCTGCCTCCTGGCTGCATTTCGACCAAGTCCACACTGCCCGCTGTAATCTTCTCCAAGTCTCAAGGAGTGTGCTGGATTCAAAACTCGCTGTGAATTTCGCTAAGTCCCACGTTCCGGCGGCTTCACCACCGAGTCTCCCCAAAATCTACTGGAATTTCGCCAAAGTCCCACCACTTGACAAAGTGTCCATGGACTCCCGTGGCTGGGGCCCTACGACGGATGTTCTTCATCACTCTGCGAGAAGGAAAGAAACAGGAAAGGCTGGTGTCTACTGGTCGGACTTGGGATTGCTAACTCCTAAACTCCTAATGCGATGCTGAACGTAATGATACTGTACAAACATAAGAAAAGGGGCGCAGAGTGGCTGGCTGGCTGACTACTCCTTTCACTTCCCTCCTTCCACCCAAAACCTGCCCCCCTTCCCTGCCTCCCACCCAGCTCCGGGATGTACACGGCCAATCTTCCCCATCACCTCTCAAAGCCAGCCAGCCACTCTGCCAACACACCTCCAGCTACCACCATGATGGCCACCCTGCCCCCT